TATGCTTGTTTCAAAGCAAAAATACTATACTGGAGAGAAAATTTTGAATTGTGGAACCCTTTTGTCCCAGACTACCATACAGGATAAATGACAAAGGCTAGAACATTCTGTTTGTTCTCACTCATGTCTGTTCTAACTGGCTTCAGGAGTCGGCGTGTGTGAAAGTGGTGGCTGCCGTGAGTATGTGGGACGTGTGCATGGAGAGGGGACACCGAGACCTGGAGCAGTTTGAGAAGGTGCATCGCTACATCAGCGACCAGCTCTTCACAAATTTTGTAAGTGACTTTTTCTCCAAAGGTCAGCCCCCTTCCCGAGGTCATGTCGAACATCAGCTCATGCAAAAGTCAGTTCCACAGAGACACGCCCTGTGTACCAGGAGTACTAGTTGTGTTTTCGCTATATCCATATCCGGGTTTCTTATTCAGAACATATCAACATATCAGTTAAACTTTCATCTCCACTTTCAATTAAAGGGACAGGTAGGACCTGTGTTATTCAGATGGATTTTTTTGTATTCAGAGGACACAGGAAAACTAGGAAATTTAATCCAGCATCAGTATCGATAACTGATCAAAAGAAAGCAACCATAGGAGTAAGAACTTGAAAAGGAATATTTAGGAATGCAGTTAAGATGTTACCAAATCTTTGAGATGGTACAAACTACAAAGAAAGTGTTAAGGGCCAAATTGCTTGGGAAATTCTAGATAGGTATATATGGGATTGTTTAATTACTAGTTAAAAGAAATGGGCAGGGTTTGACAGTTTCTTAGAGATCTCTGGATGGCTTGAGACATGCGTACTTGGGGAGCTCACAGTGTTCTAACAGTAAATTATTTTTAATGAGATGCTAGTAAGTTCCTATTTATATTCTTTCTATGTTCAATATCCTAGCCTCAATATCTGTCCCTATAGAAAGAATTAAAGAGAAAACTTCAGCCAGGCCTGGTGGCTCATGCCTGTAATCCCAGCACTTTGGGAGGCTGAGGCAAGAGGATCACTTGAGGCCAGGAGTTTGAGACCAGCCTCAGCAACATAACGAGACCCTGCCTCTGCAAATATAGAAAAATTACTTGGGCATGGTGGCAAACACCTGTAGTCACAGCTATTTGGGAGGCTGAGGGCAGGAGGATCGCTTGAGCCCAGGAGTGTGAGGTTGCACTGAGCTGTGATCATGCCACTGCACTCCAGCCTAGGTGACAGAGCAAGACCTGTCTCTTAAAAAAAAAAAAAAATTTGAAAAGTGAAAACAGATATTAGCAAGTAGTTATGATTAGAAAAGGTTTTATGGCTGTGTGAAAGTTACTATACCCCGGATTTATATTAAATTCAACCTATATAGATACATAAAACAAATGTTACCAGATAAACTGTCACATCTGGTTTGCAATGCACACATCATATCAGTGTGCAGTTCAGCATACACCAATTAAGGAGTTAAACTGGGATTAGCATATTTTGCAAACTCTTTGGCGTGCGGGAATTGTCGGCTGAAGTATCAGTCAGAAAGTTTTGTGGAATACGTAAGTAGCGTTGAGTCTAGTGCTGAGTCAGTAGAACACCATCGTGGAAACGCATGGGCTTAGCTTGTACACTGGGACTGGAGCAGCTGGTACCGGGCACAATAAAATCAGCCTTAGCAGTGTTTTGGAGAATCACAAATACGGGATGCTGAGCAACGTGCCTTTCTATCCCTACAGAAGGAGAGGACAGAGCGGCTTGTCATCTCTCCCTTAAATCAGTTACTGAGCATGTTTACAGGGCCCCACAAGCTGGTTCAGAAACGCTTTGACAAGCTCCTGGACTTCTACAACTGCACGGAGCGGGCAGAGAAGTTGAAGGACAAGAAGACCCTGGAGGAGCTGCAGTCTGCCCGGAACAACTACGAGGCCCTGAACGCGCAGCTGCTGGACGAGCTGCCCAAGTTCCACCAGTACGCCCAGGGCCTCTTCACCAGCTGCGTCCACGGCTACGCCGAGGCCCACTGCGACTTCGTGCACCAGGCTCTGGAGCAGTTAAAGCCCCTGCTTTCAGTGAGTTCCCTACTCCTCCTGGGGGAAAGCCATCTCTAAAGCTCTCCTGCTATTTTTCTGGGAATGCATATCAGTGCTGTTGGAGGAATTATCCAAACTAGGTAGATTAAATGTGTCATTAGGACAAGCCCGTCAGGAATTCTTGATCCCTTGATGGTGCCATGAAATCTGTGGCTTCTGAACATCTCTTTCTCTCTGGAGCCAGTCTGAGAAGAGCCAGCCAACTTGGCCCTGGCAGTGCCCCAGAGAGCTTTGTCTCTTGCTGCAGTGTGGGTAGCTCACAGAGCGAACTGCAGCTGAACTGTAACTTCCAGGTAGTTCTAAGAGATTTTGTCGGTCCTGGGGATCTCTCACCTGTGTTCTCTTCTTTCCTCTGTCTCGGCTCTTCCCGTGGACTCCAGTTACTTAAAGAGGCCGGCAGGGAGGGGAACCTTATTGCCATCTTCCACGAGGAGCACAGCAGAGTGCTGCAGCAGCTCCAGGTTTTCACCTTCTTCCCAGAGTCCCTTCCAGCTACCAAAAAGCCATTTGAGAGGAAAACCATTGACCGCCAGTCTGCTCGAAAGCTGCTCCTGGGCCTGGTGAGTAGGGAATTAGAGAGGGGCAGTACAGCCTAGTGGCTATGAGTGAACACTCTGGAGCCAGAACCCTGGGTCCAGAGTCTGGTACTGACACTTATTGGTATTTTTGGTTTTGTTTTGTTGTTTTTTTTTTTTTCGAGACAAAGTCTTGCTCTGTCACCTGGGCTAGAGTGCCGTGGCATCATCTTAGCTCACAGCAACCTCAAACACCTGGGCTCAAGCAATCATCCTGCCTCCTGAGTAGCTGGCACTACAGGCATGTGCCACCACGCCCAGCTAATTTTTTCTATTTTTAGTAGAGACGGGGTCTCGTTCTTGCTCAGGCTGGTCTTCAACTCCTGAGCTCAAGCCATCCTCCTGCCTCAGCCTCTCAGAGTGCTAAGATTACAGGTGTGAGCCACTGCACCCGGCATCTGACACTTGTGTATCCATGAACAACTTGCTTACATCTGTGCCTTGGTTCCTCCATCTCTAAGACATAGATGGTAACTGTATCTACATCATAGGGTTATGAGGTTTAAATGAGTTAATATATAAAAGGCACTTAGAAGTTACCTGGCATGTAGGAAGCGCTATACAAGTAATCTAGCATCATCATCAACATTGATGGACCTGGCTCTGTCTCGATAGATTAACAGTTTTATAGGAGTTTAAGTATTTCATAATAAATGGAGATGCTCATTTACTGGCATCACTGACATGCCTACTAGCCTGTGATGGTGACCACCTGTAGTTTTCTCACATTTGATACGTACTTGAAGCCACCCTCTAAAAAGTATTCTTGGATCTTAGTCCCACACAGTTAAAGCAGTTAGTAAAGTGTTAATATTAATACACTGATCAGTTAGTGAAAGGAACTGATTTAAGGGTATATTGGTTTTGCCAGGCCTATTTTTGATCATGTATTTAAAAAAGTAATACAGCCAAACAGTTAATGGCTGACTGCTTTTTTACCTGAAGATATATTCTTTTTGAGCTCAATTCTTTTATGTTTTAAAAATTAGGGTAAGATATATCAGATTATATGGGCTCATAATCTATAAGACAGATGTCTTTGCTTATGGTATTTTTGCCCCATATGATCACATAGACATTTATGTTACCACCTTTATTTTTTCTTCTTTTTTTGACTGTTTTTATAGATGGTCAAGATAGGGAGTGTCTCAATTGTTTAGGTTCATCTAGCAAAATATAAGACCAACCTAGTAATATTACTTAGATATTTGGTCACGAGATAACAGATCTAAGACTGTGTTAAGTTTTGCTGCAAAGACACCAAAACATTGCCTAAGAGGTCATGATTTTTACCTAGCCCCATGGGCTGACTCAGTCACGAAACATCTAATGGGGGTAGTAGGTGGCTAATTGTCCTTACCTTGTTTCTGAGGCTCTGACTGCATGTTGGGATTAGATACAACCACTAGGGTAATGGCCAGGGCAGGCTTTTTGTTGGTGGCACCTCTCGTTTCCTTTCAGCCGAGTTACATGCTACAGTCTGAAGAAATCCGGGCCTCCCTTCTGGCAAGGTATCCCCCCGAGAAGCTTTTCCAGGCAGAACGGAACTTCAATGCTGCTCAAGACCTGGATGTGTCACTTTTGGAAGGTGACCTGGTGGGTGTCATCAAAAAGAAGGACCCCATGGGCAGTCAGAACCGCTGGCTGATTGACAATGGAGGTAAGGATTTAAATTGTCAGGTGAATGTAACTAAATGAAGAAAGAATGGTTTTGGCTATACCCGAATCCTGTCCAGGCCAGAAAAAAACATGAGTCTTTAATCAAAGGGAAAAGTAACCTTAAAAGTTTTATCTGTGTCTGGTGAGTGTAATGCCCAGGTCATTACTGAAACAAAACCTGTTTTGGGTTGTATTTTTGTTTTGACAAATTCCAGAGGAGCTTTCATTATGTATCTTCCTGTGTTTTATAGCTCTACAGGTAGTAAATCCTGCTGGGATCTTGGTCCTTCTCAGCCTGTTCTGAGTAAACTACAGAATAAGCTGCCCTCACCCAGCTTCTATAAATTTGTCTTGTATGTTGTGAATTAAAAACTCATAGGTTTTTGTTTGCTTTTTGAGTTTTCTCCCCACAACCATTTTTTATCTCATGACGATTTAGGGAATCCCTTTAAAAATATTTGTCAAAGCCTGGACAAAAGTGCTGTGAGACTATAATTGTAGCTTATCCTTTCTGGTGTGAATAGTCACGTATATTTTTAAGTGTTTGATTATAATCTGAGTCAAAGAGAATAGAGTTGATGGGTCAATTCTAGCAGGAATGACACAAAGACATCAGAACTTTCCTTGTTTGTCGGTGATGTGAAATATTTTGTTTATAACTGACACAATAGGATGGCCCAATGCACGTATATGCCATATGATGATCAAATCAAGGTAATTACCGCATGCATCCTTTAAATATTTATCATTTCTTTGCGGTGGTAACATTCAGAATCATCTTTTGTAGCTATCTTGAAATATATAATACTTTATCATTAACTGTAGTCACCCTATTGTGTAATAGAACACTAGCACTCACTCCTCCTAGCCAACTGTAACTTTGTACCCGTTGACTAACCTCTCCCCATCCCTCCCCTCCTCAGCCTCTGATAACCGCTATTCTACTCTACTTGTATGAGTTCAACTTTTTCAGATTCCACGAGTGAGATCATGCAGTCTTTGTTTCTCTGTGCCTGGCTTCTTTCACTTAACTTAATGTCCTCCGGGTTCATCTATGTTGGGGCAGATCACAGGATTTCTTTCTGAATAGTCATCTATTTTGCTATAGAAATATTTATGGTTTGTTTATAGGGTGCTGACCCTATCGGGGGGTGTATATGTACTTGACTACCTTCCCCAGATCCAAAAATATCTGAATTCCGAAACACATCTGGCCCTAAGCGTTTAGATAAGAATTGTGAGTCTGTACAACAGCCATCTACGTACATGCCACTCGTTACTGAAGATTTTAGCATTTCTTGGTTTCTTTAAAGGCATCTTGGGGATTTTTTCTCCTCTCCCCACTTCTGCTTACCCAGAATAATAGAGGTGGGAAAGGAAGGGTGAGGATGGAGCTTCCCAGGGTGATAGCAAGAAGCCCACAGTGTTAGGAACAGTAGTAAGATCCTCCCCATGTGCCTCCCCTAATTCATTCGGCAGATATTTTTGCAGGGGCTGTGTGCCAGCTTTATTTTTTTGGGGTACAGGAGATCAAGGGAGACAGAGAGATGGGCCTTATTGTTATGGAGGTTATATACTCTGAGTCCATGCCTTGACAGATTTATAAAAAATTGTTCTGTGGATACTGTTTCAGTCTCTAACATGCACTTAACAGTTTTAGCTGAGGGCCCTCTCCATCATCATTGTGGGCAATTTAATAAAGTAAACAGCTTCCTGCTGTGGTGCTCTCACAGTAAGTCCCTCTGGCCACCCGGCCATACACTTAGTCACGTCTTCCCCTTTGCTGTGATGTCGCATCCTGGTAAGTTTTCTTCCCGTTCCCAGGCATGCAGTTGTTTTGCTACTGTCCTCAGTTGCCCACAAGGCCCTTTATCACGCGTGCTCTGAAGCTGTAACAAGAACAACCTGGCAGATAGCCGCAGCTTTTCATCTGCCCACACGCTTCGAATCCTGGGATTGGACATTTAAAGGCATTTTGTCACGGGGCATCTCGTTTTGTGTCTCACTATTGACCTAGCTTTGATTCCCCACTCACTCTATCCCTTAAGAGTTCTTGATGTTTTTCCTTCCCATAGTCACCAAAGGCTTCGTGTACAGCTCCTTCCTAAAGCCCTACAACCCTCGCCGCTCGGACGCCTCCGTGGGCAGCCACTCCTCCACCGAGTCGGAGCACGGCAGCTCCTCCCCCAGGTTCCTGCGGCAGAACAGCAACAGCACCTTGACTTTCAACCCCAGCAGCATGGCCGTGTCCTTTACCTCGGGGCCTTGCCAGAAGCAGCCTCAAGATGCATCCTCATTGAAGGAATGCGACCAAGGAACTCTCAGCGCATCCTTGAACCTGGGTAGTTCAGAGAGTGATCCTTCCAGATGCCCTTCAGACCCAGACTGCACCTCTCAGCCCATGCCAGGGGACTCTGCAGATCCAGCCAGAGATGCAAACCAACCTGCTGCCGCCCTGAGGAGCTACCGAAACTCCAAGCATCCGGAAACCGTTGGTTACCCAATACCAGGGCGAAATGGGCAAGGTAAAGACCTCGTAAAAGGCTGTGCAAGAGCACCCCAGGCTCTGGAAGACAAAAATGAAAAGCCAGAAAGCAGCGAGGCAAAAGGCAACCAGGTGAGTGCATCCCTGGCACGGGGCAGAAGGCATGCTGTGGGTGAGGCAGAGGCTTGCCCAGGACTTGGAGACGAGCACAGACATCTGTCATCAAGCACACAGGGAAACTCTTGCTGTACGAGTGAGCACCTTCTATGGCTGACGCTGTACAGCTATTCCTGGACCCCTTCTATTTTGTCATTTAGACATTTAAAAAGTGTCATGATGAAAACTTTTCCCATTCCAATTCACTAATTCTTTAGTCTGCTGTTTAACCTAGTTTTTTGATTCAAATAACCATATATTTATTTGTAGAATTTAGAAATGAAATTCTGCCTGTTTCAGTTTTGCCCATTCTTCTTGTAATGGCCTATTCCTGTCTTGTGAATTCAGGTATAGCCTTTCTGTCTTGAACATTTGAAACCTACATGTCTTAAAGCCACTTTCAGATTCACAGCCGAGGCGTCTCTGCTTCACTCACTTGTCGCTCTTACAGCAATGAGTTTCCTTGTGTGTTATGAGAGTTGTCTGCGCTCATCTCCAGAGAAGTTACCTTCATCAAAAGACTCGGTCATGTCTTGGGTTGTGGAGGTGTCACCTCAGCTGAGGTCTGGATTCCAGAAGCCAGTTTTCCCCTCGTTTCTCAGCTCTGACACTCCACGCCACGTCCCTTGGCAGAGTTTGGCGCAAACTTGCTTCTCTGGTGACCGTTACTGCCCGCAGCCCAGGGCAGGCTTCCCAGTTCTGCACCTGCCAACCAGAAAGTTTATAGACATGTTGAGGGAGGAAAAATGGACCTTTCTTAGATTCCGCCTGTGAGTAGGGAATGCAGTTTAGCCTCATCACCTCCCGTCCCTGCCCGGGTCCCAAAGCCCCAGTCCTTGGATACGTGTCGGGCCTCCTCGCTTCTCCATCACCCGGCTCCCCTCACTTGGCATCATATCTTTGTGCCACCAAGAGCACATCCTTTCTTGCTTTGAAGTTAGTTGTGGGTTTGGAGTATTTTTTTTTTTAGTTTTTTTAATTTCATAACTTCTGTGTTAACTGAAGATTCTTTCTTCTACCCTTTAGGCAAATCTAAAAGACTGAAAGTGTGAATTTTGTCTTTCTTTGAATCTGCCCTGTCCATTGTGGTAGCCACCAGCCATAGGCTATTTAAGTTAGTTAAAATTAACTAAGATTAAAATCTCAATTCCTCCATCTCACTAGCTGGATTTCAAGGGCTCCACAGCCCTGTGTGGGCAGATGCAGAATGTCCTATCACCGCAGAAGTTCTGTTGGACAGCGTTGCTCTCGATGGTTTCCTGTTTCCTAACTCACTTTCTCGCCCTCACACAGGTCTATTTTGCTGTCTATACCTTCAAGGCACGAAACCCAAATGAGCTGAGTGTGTCAGCCAATCAGAAACTCAAGATCCTTGAGTTCAAAGATATTACAGGAAATACAGAGTGGTGGCTGGCCGAAGTTAACGGGAAGAAGGGCTACGTTCCATCCAGTTATATCTGCAAGACTGAGTACACCTGAGCCTGTTCTGCCTTCCACCCGACCTCACTGCCTTTGCTTTCAGTCTGAAGGGGGCTGAGGGTCCCCTGAGAGGGCACCTGCTCCCGAGACACAGGCCCTGTCCACATCGCTTAACCACGGCACGGTGGGGCACAGGATGAGCCTTGCTCTCCCTGATTGGGTTGTCAACCTCGATGCTCACTAGAATTCTAGAATCTGAAATGGACCCTGGGGCTTTGCACATGATTTAGTGAAGAGAGGCGAGTCCTGCGGTCAGCCTTTGGAAGTGAGAAATTTCCAATCAGAAGACCAGTCTCCTATGTATGCAGGAAGCTGTGCTGTAGCATTAGAACATGTTGGTATTGGTTACACCGTATGGAGTTTGGGGTGGCCCCGTGCTCCATGATCAGCTGACCGGACACTGACTTGGATGAAGAGAATTATGGCTCTGGGAGCCCTTCTGGGCTGTGCTTTGACATGTGGCAAGGAGTTTGTCAGGACTGTACCAAACCTGGTGTATCAGAGCTTCTGGACACTTCCAGGGTCAAGCACAGTCACACACACTCCCCGATTTCTAAGGTCCCTAAAATACTACCTTCTGTAATCTTTGTTTCTTTCACTGCGTTCCCAGATTGCTTATACAAAATTCAGCCGCTTTCTTCTTTTCAGAAGTGGTTAGGGTCTTTATTTTCCTTTGACCCTTTAGGCACAATCACTGACACTTTTCTGACAATCATCTCTCCCTTCTAGTCTGTGGGTGACGTCTTGTAGCCCTCTGCCCCATGGACTCGGTAACTGATGAGCGCTCCAGCCAGTCCATTAAAAGTATCAGCTCTGCACCAAGCAGAGGGATGTCTTTCTCCATCATCCATTTAGTCACATCCACAGATGCAGAAAACATAACCTGTGACTTATTTGAGTTAGGGATAAGCCGTTCCAGAAGTATTATAGTTTATCCTAGACTTGGAAAAAAGATTTTCTATTTCACCACAACCTCTGTGCTTTGGAGACAACATTCAAGGCCAGATAGATTCTGAAGTGCCTCGTCACACCTCCTGCCAGTCTCAGGAAGACATTTGCTAATTCCTTGCACCAAGAATCTCCCCCTGGAGAGCAGGGTTTTTATTTTTATCTGTTTTGGCAGGGTTCTTATTTTTAAGATCTTTCCCAGATATGAAGCCCACCTTGGAACAGGAAACCATGAATGTTGTCTTTAAGATACAGGCCCTGCTCCTCCAAATGCACATTTGGCCTTAAATTCCTGGTGAGTTGGGGAGACACCCGTGGGCTCCTCATCCACAGTGTCTGCTGATCGTGGTCAGAAGGCAGCAGTGCAAGAGTCTCTTGTGAGAGTGTTTATATTTAGAGATGTTTATATTTAAGTAGTTATTTTATAAATAAAAGCATTTCTAATGGCCAAGAGTGTCTTGATTTCCCTCCATGTCTACCCAGACCACTATGACACCCAGATTCTGGGGAAATGGGAGAAGCCAACTGAAGAAACAGGTCAGAATTCATTTTGTCAAATATTTTGACAGAATTTCTGTGTTCTCAAAACATGTCCATGCTGCAGGTGGTTGCCTCGTGTATTATAAAAATCACACTATTTTAAGCCATCTTGCATTATAAAATTCTAGCAGAAGAGCTGGAATCTCTAAGGGACAAGAATTTTCCCCAATATTGCAGACATGGAAACACCACTAGAGATGAACTAAAACAAGGTCACTAGGCAGCAGTTCGGGCAGGTTGAGGGCAGGGAATGGCAGGACTAGTGGCAGAGGTGGGATTGAGGACAGCACGTGGGTGACAGTGAAACCATTGCTCAACATTAAGGAAAGGAAAACAGAGTAGGTGGGCTGTGGGGAAGAAGCTTGTAGGTCATCCAGGCGAACTCTTTCATTTTATGGACTAGGAAAAGTGGGATCCAAAGACATTCTGACTTGCCCAAATCGTACATCAAGTTTCTGATGGATTGTGAATTTCAACGTGGGCCTGCAGGCTGTCTGAGCCTATACCCCTTGCTCTGAAGCCAGACTGGTTTCCAACACTTAACCTTGTGACCGTGGCAACTTGCCTAACCAACACTGCAGTTTTCCTCATCTGCAGCAGAGATGATAATACTGTCCACCTCAGAGTTGTAAGGATTGAGTTTGTACATGCAGAATGCAAAACAGCATGTCAGCAAGATGGTGGAATAGGACTTTCTAGCACTCGTCCTCCCGCAGAAACATTTGAACAACTATCCACACGTGAAAATACCTTCATAAGAGCTAAGGAAACCAGGTGAGAGATTACAGTACCTGGTATAGCACAAATCAGAAACGACACATTGAAAAGGACAGGAAAGACAGTTTGACATTACATCCATCACCCTGCCCCAACCCTAAGCAGCACAGCATGGGGAGAGACGTGAGCCCCAGACTCCAGGCCCGCCTACAGTGTACATGGGTGGTTCATGGGGTAATGTCTGGAGACCACCGCAGACACTCATGTTTTGCTCAATACCACACACCTGCCCACCCTTGCTAGATGAATATAATGGCTTCTGCACCCTTTTTGGTCCTGCTGGCCAGAAGATCTGGCATATATAGTTCCCAGGTTTCCACCTTGGGAAAAGCATAGAAGAGAACAGAAAAGTGATGAATGCCAACAGACCATCTTACTGGAAAGTAGAAGAAATTAAATATGAAAAGGACTTAAACGTGGCCTTGTGCTTAGTACTGTGTTATGTGAGTCAGCTCTTTGATCCTTCTTATGTTCTACTCTTAGAACCCTTAGAACTCTTAGAAACCCAGAATCGCAGTCCTGGATGGAGAACGCACCACCCAGGAGCTGGTTATTTCTAGCCAGTCGCTGCTGCTCCCACGGCGCCCCCCCCCCCTACCCAAAGCAGCCACCATCAGATTCCTTGTCCAGCTCTGCAGATCTGGCAGGAGGTTAGTGTAAAGGAGTCAAATTAGACGCAAGTAAGCAAAAGAGATCAAGGCCTTAGCAAGCCACCCTCCTCTTGCTTTTTGTCCTATCTCAACACCTCCATGCATCCAAAACAGAGGGCAGAACCTACTTCAAAACACTCAAGAGTAGTAGACACCTTTACTGAAGATTTAAGTACATGAAAGGAGAAGATAACTCTACATATCACAAAGCAAAACTTCCTTTAAAAATTCCTTTCTTGACCCAAAACTTCACCTTCCTCCAGCATTAGTTCAAGTCCCACTCTCTTCTTTCTCTGACTCAAATTCCCTCTCACCACCTTCCCTACTGCCAAGCTTTCCTCCTCCTCCCCACTTGTCTCCCTCTCACTTTTTTAGGTCAATTTAATCTCTTGCATTGGCATCTACCCCAATTACCCACTATCGACATCACAGCAGAACAGAGGCCTAATGACCAAGCAGTGCAAACAGAAGACCCTCAGGATATGAGAGGGGATGGTCATTTATTTATACTGGGTTTTGTGTATTTTATGATGCTAATATGAGTGCCTTGGTTCCAAGGAGCATGCAATGGTACACAATGTTAAGTCATCAAGAGATTCAGAAAGCTTTCTACATCAGGGAAACTCAGGGTCTGTCAAAAATATCGTCTTCCACTCACTTAGCTAGGTACTGTGCTGAGTGTTATATTGTGTTATCTTATTACCATCCCCCAGACAACACAGAGGTTAAAAACATGACCAAGTTTGCCCAGATAGAAATAGTAAAGATCACATTTAAATCCTAGTCTCTGGAGAACTGGAAGGAGAAAGGTCCCCAAGAGGCTTGGAGACCAGCCGACAAGGGTAGCTGGAGCAGATAACTTTCCCCTCCCTTGCATCTCCGACTGTTGGTGGGCTCCTGAGCCGTTGGAGAGACCTGCCGACACCAGCCCAGAGATGGCTGCCACCAGTGAGCAGTGAGCCTCCTGCGGACAGGGCACCAGGCTCCCAGCTCCCTCGGGACACCTCCCCACACGCAGACCCGAGCCTATCGGCAGACGCCATAGTGCTCCATTCTCTCCTTCCCCTTCCCTACCTGTGGGTGCCCAGAGAGACAATTTAACCATCACATGGAGGCATCTCCAAGGAACGGGACCTTTCCTTTTGGGGCCCTACAGCAGATTGAGGGGTACTCAGACTGCGAGCTCCCTACCCATGAGCCAGCCCTCCCAGGTGCTGCTTGCCTGGTGACTCCAGGAGAGTGGGGCAAATCCCAAGGTGGAGTGAAATCGATCCAGCTTGGGCACCCTGTAGGTGATTCAAGACCAGCACCCCTCCCCCTGGCAGGGTCAGGGATTGATCTCCAGGGCCGAGGGGTAGGCCAGCAGACCAGATCCCGTACACCCAGGCCACGATTGCACTGCCCCGGGGCACAGAAGGGAGATCTGTGAAAGAGCCTACTGAGGAGTGTGTGCCTTCAGGAGCAGATCAGCTTGCCTGAGCAGCAACCCTCCTCCCAAAAGAGGGCTGTGCACCCAGTTCAGGCTGCGATCCTGGGCAGGGAACCTCCCGACCCATGCCACAGCCAGGGGAGATCTATTGGCCTGAGGTCCTGCCTGCTGGCAGAGGCGTGGGAGAAACCACAGAATAGGGGAGGGTGGAAAGAAGTGGGACCTGCTCCAGAGTGTCTCAGACAGACCCCCCCAACACACAGACTTTTCAGCTGAGTGGAGCCATTTCATCCCCTCCCGGCAGCTTTGCACAGAAGCAAAGAACAGACCTTTGAACACTGCTAACAGAATTTGTGGAGCCTGAGGGCAGGCTTACCCAACCCAGCACCCCCCCAGACTCACTCCTGGACCTGCCCCCACTGAGGTGGAGAATAAGGACACACCTGGAAGTCCCAGGGCCCCACCCACCACCTGAGGCACAAGAGGGCCTCTGCAGAGGAACAAGAGCTGGTTACAGGACCCAAAAACAGCACTGCAGCTCGCTCCTTCCAGCAAGTGCCACCTACTGACAGGGAGGTCATCCTACACACCCTTTTACTGCATCTACTGACTCATCATAAAGGGTATGGTTGAGTCTCGCCCACAGACACCACCTACTGGCTCAGAGACTAAACAGGGCATGTCATTATCCAAACAAAAATCTAAAGGCAAGAAGGAACAACTGATCCAGATGAGAAGGAACCAGCAAAAGAACTCTGGAAGTATGAAGAATCAAACGGAAAGCACACCCCCAAAGAGGAACAACAGCTCTCTAGCAATGGAC